GAGCTTGAGTTTGGGATAAACCTTGGCCCTATCCATGGCTTCGTGATCTTGGGAAAGTCGCTTAAATTCTCTCAGTGTCTCAATTTTCCTCATCTTTTTGTAGAGTGATGCCTACACCCCTTGCTCTCCAGTGGTATAAATTTCAAATAGTCTGCCCCTGGCAGAAGAGGTTGGGAGAGATTAGAGACCTCTCACGTGACCATGTGGTGAGGCGGAGGGCCGGCGCGGTGGTGTGCACAAAGCAGGTGTTTTGGCCATGGACAAGCCTGCATGGCAATCCCAACTCTGCCTGTCATTTGAGCAAGTTATTAAATCTCTAGAAGTCTCTTCAATCTGTAAAATGCAATGTTGTTGAGGTACGGATAAACATAAGCTCCTGACAGACACTAGGCCATTAATAAATGGTGACTGTTATTATTTTTATTATGAATTACTGAATTACGATGAATAGTTAGCAGGTTCAAAATATCAAGATTTATTTTCTAAAACCATGCCTACTCATTCACTTTGATCCCCAGGAAAGAGCCAATACAGAATTGGGCTGTCCTTCTAGGAAACTGAATCCCGTGTTTTTCTATACTCAATGCTTGGGGCTAATTCTGGAAGCTTATCCTCATACACATGACACCTTGAGAAAACCTGGACAGGTACTTCTCTTCCCTTTAGAAGCCTCTGCCTGAGTCCCCGCTTCTTTGACCACAGGAATTCTGGTAGTCTGTTGGGATCTCAAAACTCACCTTGCGTTCTGAAGAGGGTAAAATTATAATGCAGTAATTCCCAATGCTTTTTAGCATGAGAATCTCATTTTAAGGCAAAAATTATTTCAAGGAATCCCATAAAATAACAGTTCTATTTTAAGTAGCTTTTGATTGAGAACATACGTGAAAAAATTTAGCAATGGTGAAAAGTTAGAGGATCCTCTCAAACATTTTTTTCACGGAGGTAATATATGAGCCTGATAGAAAATTCACAAGGTACCAAAGGGAACAGTACTTGCAGCCTACTCCTGTCACTCAGTGTCCTTCCCAGAGCCAATTGTTGTTTCGATTTCTGCTCTGTCTTTCAAAGGTAGTCTATATTTTACAAATACTTTCATACCTATCCTTTTAAAAAAGTCAAAATGATAGCATATCTTTCCACTGTTCTTCATACTTGACAATATCTTGTTATACTTTAAATGAGAAATGTGAAAAAAAAGAAGAATGTGTATTTTTATTCCTCACAGTGGCATCTACTATTGAAAAGTTAGATTGTCTTTATTAATATACAGAAAGTCCAAGAGTACATCAACTATACACCACCTAGAGATTCTTAGCTCTGAGATTAGGAACCACTGGTGTAAGTAAGTTATCAATGATATTCAACATTAATTTTGGCCCTACTCTGTATCAGGCATTGTTCTAAGCACTTTACACTTGTTATCTCACATAATCCTTCAAATCCTTCTGGTCTCAGCTTAAATGTTATCTCCTTAGAGAAGCTCTCTATGATCCAACTATACCTGCCCTTTCCCCTTTCCATTATTCCCTAGCATTTAATCCTGTTTATTTCCTTCAGGAGATGAATCGTTCTATATAATTAGTTACCTATTTGTCTGCTTGTTTACTGTTGTCTTCCCAACAGTACGTGTCTTACGAGCAAGGACAGAATCAGTTTGGCTCCCTGCAGTATATCCAGTGGCCAGTACCGTGTCTTAGTGCTTGGTGCAGAGGAGCCATTCATTGGATATTTATTAAGTATATCATGAGCAAAAACCAACTTTATGAGGTAGACCCTATTATTATCTGTCATACAAATGAGGAAACCAAGGCCTAGGGAGAAAAACAGGCTCATTCCAAAGGTAGTAAATTACAAAATTGGTTTGAAACCCAGCTCTGTGGGTGCCTGGGTGGCTCAGTCGTGAAGTGTCTCTCTTCGGCTCAGGTCATGATCCCAGGGTCCTGGGATCGAGCCCCGCATCGGGCTCCCTGCTCGGCGGGAAGCCTGCTTCTCCCTCTCCCACTCCCCCTGCTTGTGTTCCCTCTCTCGCTGTGTCTCTCCCTGTCGAATAAACAAATAAAATCTTTAAAAAAAAAAAAAAAAAGGAAGAAAGAAACCCAGCTCCGCCTGACCCCAGAGCACAAGCTCTTTACCACTACTCTGTTGTCAGAAATAGAAGACTGGCACTCGCTTCAGCAGCACATATACTAAAACTGGAACGATACAGAGAAGATTAGCATGGCCCCTGCACAAGGATGACATGCAAATTTGTGAAGCGCTCCATATTTTTGCCCCACATCGGGCTCCCTGCTCGGCGGGAAGCCTGCTTCTCCCCCCACCTCTGCTTGTGTTCCCTCTCCCGCTCTGTCTCTCTCTGTCAAATAAATAAATAAAATCTTAAAAAAAAAAAAAAAGAAATGGAAGACTGAGTACAGTCCTGGCCATGTGTGATCTTGAGTAAGTCCCTTTTCCTCCCTAGGACTGTTTGCTCCATGGGAAAATGTGAGGGTGAAGTTAGCAATATTCCTCATAGTGGTGTTCTGTGATGTAGGAGATCATGATCTATGAAAACATAAAGGGGGACATTGAAGGGGCCAACAAGGTTGGCCTGATGCCTTTAAGAGAGATGACTTTTGATTCTTTTCTTCCTTCCCTCCTTTCCTCATGGAAGATTTGCTGCTCTTTATTCTATGCCAGGCACTGTGTCAGACATCCCTTTGGATAGGGCTCCAAAGACTAATAGGACATAGTCCCTGCCATTAAGGTGCCTGGTCCGATGAGTCTAATGCAGACCCACTAACAGCTGCATTTAGTATAGGTCAGTGCCGTAATAGGAATATGTACGAGGCACATGGTTACACGGAAGAGGAAGGGATTGATTCCATCATGTTATATGTGTGGTGCTTGGGATGGAGGTGGATGTAAGGAAGGGAGGGATGAGGTATAATGCTGAGCTGGGCCTTGGGGAAAGAAGAGCCTTCCAGATGGACAAGAATGAGGTGAGGCTTCTGGACACAAGAGACATTGTAGGCAGAAGCACAGCAAGAGACGACCGTTGCGCTGGATTCCTAGGGTAGGGGGCTGGCTCCCACGGTATGGAGCTGGTTAGGTAGAGGGAGCCCAGGAAGAGTCAGGCTGAAGAGTTTGGACTTGACTCCTGAGAGCTGTGGCATGGCCAACTGATATTTATGTTTTCTTTCTTTTTTTTTTTTAAGATTTTATTTATTTGACAGAGAGAGAGACACAGCGAGAGAGGGAACACAAGCAGGGGGAGTGGGAGAGGGAGAAGCAGACTTCCTGCTGAGCAGCCCCCCTGATGCGGGGCTGGATCCCAGGACCCTGGGATCATGACCTGAGCCCAAGGCAGACGCTTAACGACTGAGCCACCCAGGCGCCCCTTACGTTTTATTTTTCGAAGGATGACTCTGACAGGGGTAGGACTGGAGGAGGCTGATGAGGCAAACAGTGGGGAAACTAGTTAGGAGGCTTTGCAGTAGTCCAGGTGAGAGATGATGAGCACTCAGACCTAAGGCAGGGTTCCTTCACAGCAGGGTTGGAGAGGAGCTGGATACATTGGAGATTTTTTAAAAGGTAGAGCAGAAGGACCTGGTGATTGACTCGATGAGGGAGAATAAGAAGAGACTAAGGGACTTACTGGAATGGATCAGGAGGCCAAGTATGAAACGCTGCCATTAACAATTATAGGGAATTTGGAGTGGGTGGGAGAAATAATGTTATTGGCCTTGGATATGTTAAGTTTGAGGTGGCTCTTAGACAGCCAGCAGGAAAGGTCTAGCTAGCTGTGTCCTTCCTTTCCAGAATAGCAGTCCAAGCCTGAGCCAGACATCCCTGGGCCCATTTCCTGCGAGGCCCAGGCAGGGATAAAATTCTCCAAGACCTGAGTGGAATTCCTGAGTTCCACATCCTTCAAGGATATAAGCTGGGAATTGGAAACTCCGTAGATCCTTATTGATAGGAGGCGAACGGATCGTGGATTTGCTTTTTTAAACTCAGACGTTGGCTCCAGTGGATCAAACTCTCCTGTCCCTTGCAAGGACCAGACTTTTAAAAAAGACACCATTTCCTATGGAGCAGCCTCTGGCCCTGACAGGCTCTGGATCTCAAGAAGCCCCCACTTCCCTTAGGGAACAGCTTTTTTAAAGGAAGATGAGGTCGCACAGCGTGTAGCCTGGTCCAGCCTGGCCGCTGCAGAAAGCCCAGAGTCTTGGGGACTGGACCCTCTCCCAGCCACCAACCTTAGTTAGGTGTCCTCAATGCCGAAACAAGACTGTACGTAGCCCTAACTCTTTCCAAAATGACGGGACCGGAACCCTTCCCCACCTCAGTTCGAATCCCTAGAGCTCACTAGGCGGTGGCTGGGCCGAACACGTGGGCTCCATTAGGGGCCGGCCTCTAGGGTCCTCCGGGGGAAGGGGACAACCTAGGAGGAGGAAGGCTGCTGGCCCGCCACACCGAGCGTGGTAATCTCCCTGGCGGCTCCAGTCCGCCGCCGAAGGCAGGGGCACGCCCTGTGACCCACTCTCACGTTCATAGGACCGTGCCAGAATCCCTTTTCTCTACTCCGCCCTCTCCTCCCGCACCGTCCCACTGTCCTGCCCATAAATCGGACGAGCAAAGGTAGCAAGATTTCCTCCCGCGCCCCTGCGGGCCGCGAAATCGGGCGCTAAAGCAGTGCAGTCCCGAGCTTCCCCTGCAGAAGCCGCGCTCCTCGCTCGGTCCTGGGGTTGAGGGGGCGCGAGAGAGCAAGTGGGCGGGCGTCCTATTCTCCGCATCCTCCTCCAGGTCCTGGCGCGCAGGGTGGGAGCGCCGCGCCGCTCCGCGCTGCGCATCGCGGCCCGCTTGCCGCCTGCCCCCTGCCCTCGCTGGGCCGCCTCCCCCGGCTGCCGGTGGAGGGCTCCGAGGCGCTAACGTTACGCTGTTTCCGGTTTTCTAGCGGGCTCTGTTTCCCCTCCCAAGGCGGCGGCGGCGGAGCGGCGGAGCCCCCCAAATGGCCTGGCCAGATGCGGCAGGTTTGCTGCTCAGCGCTGCCGCCGCCGCCACTGGAGAAGGCTCGGTGCAGCAGCTACAGCGACAGCAGCAGCAGCGGCGGCAGCAGCGAGAGGAGCAGCAGCGGCAGCAGCGGCAGCAGGAGCAGCAGCGGCAGCAGCGGCGGCAGCATCTCCCGTCCCGCTGCGCCCCCAGAGCCGCGGCCGCCGCAACAGCCGCAGCCCCGCAGCCCCGCAGCCCGGAGAGCCGCCGCCCGCTCTCGAGCCGCAGCCGCCGGCGGCATGAGGCGCGACCCGGCCCCCGGCTTCTCCATGCTGCTCTTCGGTGTGTCGCTCGCCTGCTACTCGCCTAGCCTCAAGTCGGTGCAGGACCAGGCGTACAAGGCACCGGTGGTGGTGGAGGGCAAGGTACAGGGGCTGGCCCCAGCCGGCGGCTCCAGCTCCAACAGCACCCGCGAGCCGCCCGCCTCGGGTCGGGTGGCGCTGGTGAAGGTGCTGGACAAGTGGCCGCTCCGGAGCGGGGGGCTGCAGCGCGAGCAGGTGATCAGCGTGGGCTCCTGTGCACCGCTCGAAAGGAACCAGCGCTACATCTTTTTCCTGGAGCCCACGGAGCAGCCCTTAGTCTTTAAGACGGCCTTTGCCCCCATCGACACCAACGGCAAAAACCTCAAGAAAGAGGTGGGCAAGATCCTGTGCACTGACTGCGGTGAGTCGCCCCCTCCCTCTGCTAGAGAAAGGGGGGAGGGGCGAGGTGGTGGAGAATGGGGGTGGGGCGGGGAGGTGCTGCAGGTGCCCAGGCCTGGCAGCGCCCGGCTGCGGGGGAGGAGGGGAGGGGGCTGGGGGGGTGGGGCCGCCCCTGGGCCGGGCACCTGGCACGGGTGGGTGAGGGGGTTGGGGTTGGGGAGAAGGAGGATCAGGCTCAAAGTGTGCCAGGGGTGGGGGGCGGGGGAAGGCGCTGGCCTGTGCCAGCAGCGATCTGCGGCTGATGTATGGCATGTGGAGCTGGAAAGCTGCCATCATAGCCCAGGAGCGGCAGGAAAAACGGAGAAGTCCGGGTGGTGCTGGCCCGAGGCTCGGTGAGTCAGGAGGGACACTCGGAGGCCTTGCGCGCTCTGCTCCGAGGGGCCTGCCTCACGCAGGCTGGCCGGGGTCTGCAGGAGCAGCTGGGCAGACTCCCAGGTGGTGAGGGCCTCCGCTGACAAGTTCTCCTAGGGAATGATGGCCCCCCGCCCCCTCCTTCCTCTCCTGGGCTCCGGGTTCTGCTCATCCACACCGCTGGCGCAGGCAGAGTTGGACTTTTCTGCTACTGTTTTCCGTCCTCCATGTGGCGCGGGGTGTTTTCTCCATCGTGATTGCCTGTCTTTGCTAAGCGGTTAGCCCAGCCTTCTCTTACCCTCCAGGAACCGGGGAGCAGACACCCCTTTTGGCCGTCTCTGAGAGATTTGACTAGGTCTGTTGGTTGTGATGACAATGAAATAGAGTAACTTACTTCTGCTGAATGCCGTTTAAGTTCAGGCTCTGACATCTTACTGGCAGGATGTGTTTGACTGCATCTCTCCTCTTCATGATGTTGGGCGCTGCACAGGAATGCAGGTGATCAGAAACAGAGCACTGAAGTCTGTAGATCTCTGTAGCAGGGAGTGGAGGTCTCCCACGTCCGGAGTAAAAGAAATAGCAGTTTGAGAGCTTTTGTTACTCCTCCCTGAACCCAGAACTTACTTCTCAGGGAGATATTTCAAACCCACTTGTCCCCATACTGGAGTATTTGGTGCTGGCTGGTCTTGTGCTTATTCCTGTTGGGGTTTCTTTCCTTTTGTCCCGGCTAAGGCTGAATGTGGTGCTTGCTGTGTGACTCTGGGCTGGGTAATGACTGAATTATGATAGATGTCCTGGACGTCACTGAAGTTGGCATGTTTACCAGTTTACCAATCGGTTCTAGATAGGCTTTGGGAAGCAAAGAATGTGGAACAGCTCAGAGGAAGTTTTGCTGCCCTCACCTTTTTAGATCAATACCTTTGACTTTTGGAAACTTTCCTCCTCTTTCCCCCTCCCCCACCCCTGTCTTTCAAGAGACAATTTTTAATTTAGTAGTGGTAGTGTATCCAGGCATTATGTTAAACTGTGGCCACTTTAATCAGAAGAATCTCGAGGTATCTTAATGAGGAGGGAAAAACTTTGGTGGTAAGGGTGATTTATCTCTCTGACATTGTTCTGAGGAGTATTGTTGACTGCTCTTTAATGTTGGTTTTATGTTCTTCACTGTTTTATGATGACAAGTCGAGACCAGTTAAGAATTCCTAATTTTTTATTCCGTTAAGTATTTTATCTGAGATCGCGTAGGGAGCTGTGGAACTGTATTGTGCTGTGGGAAATAGATAGTAAAAACATTTATTGAACCTTGTCCAAGGACAGCTTCTGTTTTGGTTTTCGGTGAGCTGCTCCTGAATATGCACAGTGCACATCACCACATAATCCCCTAGTCTGGTCCACTGAGACCCAATGGTCTTCGTCAGATAATCTCCTGTCTTCCTCCTCCTCCTTTCCCCCTTCCCTCCTTCGCAATTATACCTTGTTTGTTTTGGTGAGAGTTTAAGAGTTGAATAGTTGAATGTGGAGATCATGAGAGATGTGGAGGTCAGAACTCTTGTCTACTTTCAGGTTACGATCACCTCATTTTATTGAAGTAACATGTGTGGGACTAGTTCTCAGAGAGTACCACAATCCCTGCTAAAGAGAAGGCCCTCACACACTGCAAATTGTCAAGAAGCAGGAACAAGTATGGAAGTAAACACTTCAGAATGCAATTTGGCTTTCCGTTGATAGCATCTAGATCTCTGTCAGTTTGGGAGGGGGAGACTTTATATAAGCGGATTAGAAATTAAAGGACATATTTGTGAGAGGAAACTTGTGGAACTGGTGGTTATATGCCGGAAGGGCATAAACTGCATTTTCTTATTTTCTACTATGGGATTAAGGAAAACATGCACTGGTGATGGTATATTAAATAAGGAAACAAAATCATCCTAACTAACCACAACACCTTCCTTGTGCTCAGCAGGAAATAACTAACAAATTCATTTTCTGTTTTCTATCTCTAAAGAAAGCCTTCTGGGCCACCAGGTCATTGGGAACATTTTCTCCTTGGAGCAGATTTACCCATTGCAAAATAGGGAAACTGGCACTCAGAAACTGTCATCATGCCCGTTACATTGAGCAACTGTGGTTGAATTGTTACTTTGTTTAGCCAGTTTCAGCTCCCAATGGTGTCTGGATTCAGAGAGTCCTGGTTCTTAGGGAGATCATCTAGAAAGGTGTGTTAGCGTGGGTTAGGACTTTGGGACAATGTATCATATGGAGGGATGTTGAGATTAAAAGCTAACACATGCCTCAGTAGCATCAATGAGGGGTCCTAGTGGACCCTTTCTAGAAGGCCCTCATGAATGGCTAATTTCACTGCAACTGTAAAATATTGATTTGAAGCCTGTGAAGTCTGGCTGAATATCTGAGGGGTATTTTTATAGATCACATGTGTATCATTCATCCAAAATTACTACCTCTGGTGGTAAAGAGTTGAGTAAAATCTTTGCATTTCTAAGAAGCTTGCGTACAGGGAGGTGTTTTCTGTGCCTTCTGTGGAAAGGAGAGGAAAAAGAGAAAAGAGTCTTAGGGATTAGCAACCCTGTACAATGCTATAAAAGCATCCTGTTCTGCAAATAGTCCTGCATTTTTAATGATGGTTGCATATATTTTGGTATAATCACACCCTATCTTGTTGCTTTCCTATATATATGGTTTTAAGCTGTTTCCTTGTAACAGAGACACAGCAAATAGTGTTAAAAAAAATCATTCTTCCTTTGGGACTTTCTGATTTGCAGTTTTCTTCCAATGTATAATGTTCTTTGTTGTTAAAGATGGAAAAGGTGTATCCCTGGAGTGGGGCGGGGGGGACTTTACATCCTTTAGGATAGTTTTTTAATTAATTTGACAACCAGATTCACATATTAGAGGAAGGTGGTTCACAAAATTCAGCATAGCAAAAGCGACTGCATATTTTTAAAATTCTGTTTATTTAAAGACTCTTTTCTTCCCCAGCCAGCTGGAAACCCAGCTGTGCTGCAGCTTGAAGATGGGAAAGTGAAACTAGTCTAGAAACTGACCATTCCTAGTGATGAGGACAAGGCTTGGTTATAGAGTTAAGGGGCATAATTACCATTATAACGTCATGAGTTCTTTTGGTGGCTGCTTTCCTCAGCAGATTGCAGTTCTTGGGGGCGGGAACCATGTCTTATCTTTGAGGTCTTTTTCCTACCTCTCCAAGCCCCCCGATGTTGGTACTGTGCCTGGTGTATACAGGGACTCTCCTAAGTGTCTTTTAAACGGATGAAGTCAAGTGAAGTTAAAAAAGCAAACCTCCAGATTAATACTAAAACAATCTTAACTCTCTGATCTGTGACACCAAGTCTTGTTCTGAAAAGCTCAGTTTGATGATAGCCTTTACCTGTCGCTATGGGAACCTTTTTTCCAAAGGAGTCGTTATCAACTAGAGTACTTAACCACAATGTGCTTAATCATTGTGCTGATTAGTGTTAATGGGATTTGAGCAGCGGAGAATAAAGGTCTTGCTGGAGAGGACCCTCTTTTTTTTTTTTTTTTTTTTTTTTTGGAGAGTAGATTACCACTCCCTCACCCTCAAAACAAAAATAAACAAAAATAGAACAATTACCCGTTTGAATTAAACAAATATTTTGGGAGCTAGAGAGGGTGGTATATTAACTAACTAGGTGACTAACTTCTGGGTCCCAATCCTTTTCCATTTTTTATCATCTAGGACATTTTCATTTTATTTCCTAATAGCAAATGCATCGTTAGGTTTTTTTCTTTATAAAATTGTATTTACTTTTTTGAATGTGTAATATATGCCTCAATCCAGAAAGTGCATATGAATATATGGTCAAAAGTCTCCCTCTTACCCCTGTCATCAGCTACCTATCCCTAAGGCAATTGAAAAATAACATACTCTTGGGCGCCTGGGTGGCTCAGTTGGTTAAGCGACTGCCTTCGGCTCAGGTCATGATCCTGGAGTCCTGGGATCGAGTCCCGCGTCGGACTCCCTGCTGAGCGGGGAGTCTGCTTCTCCCTCTGAACCTCTTCCCTCTCATGCTCTCTATCTCATTCTCTCTCTCTCAAATAAATAAATAAAATCTTAAAAAAGAAAAGAAAAAAGAAAAATAGCATATTCTTGAAATGTGTATTTCTCTAAGAGCAAAAGGTTTGTCAAAGTAGTCTTATGTTTTTCTCTTAACAGATGGACAATGTTAATTTTGCCATTAAGTCAATTTTATAGTAAATTCTTCCCAAGTAATATATATATATATATATATATATATATATTTGACCTAACCCAAGTTCTTAATCACTACCCTACCTCACAAATATAACCGTAGGGTCAGGAATGAAAATACCAAGTTGTTTTTCAGATACTTTGCCATTAAGAAGTTTTCTGTGACAGCGAATTTTGTGAGGAGTCTTCACTGGGATGCTCAAAGGAGAGAGGCAAGGATTGGTCCCTGAGCTTTAGGGCAGCAGATCTGCCGGTACCACAATCCCTACTGTTTCACCCTCTCGACAGCCTCACAACAGAATCCATGTGGGAAATCACGTGATTCCATATGTGCAAAGAGAAAACCCCACAGTGCGTGATTGCTT